TGCACACACACACACACATATATATATATATAACACATGCATATAGAATATGTATACATTATATATATATATATATATCGATATATAATATATATACAATATTCATACATATATATATACATATATATGTAATATAATATATATATATATATAACATATATGAGACTGTATTGTCATTCTCACGTACTCCTGTCATATAGTGACCGCAATAGAAGGCAAGATCCGAGGCAGAATTATTTGCGGGTGGATGCACACAAGGAAATCAAAATAAAGTATTGTTTGCACGAGTTATTCTACAATATATTCAAGCTTCTTCTCACATCAAGGTGAATTCCCGAAAAGATGAAGAGCGCAACGATATTCTTCCATATAGCTCCCGTGTTGTGCACTCCACGATAGCCTTGATAACCCCTATAGCACGTAGGACTACCTAATATTGACCATTCATTGCCGAGTGCGACGTACACGAACTAAATCTTACATGATCTTTGTTTTTACCCTCGATGTATGCATACACATATCAACCAACGTATTTAAATTTTATATATGCCCAGCTATAGCTCTGCTCGCCTCTGAAGGTACTCTTCTGGTAATAATATCTTAGCTTAGGCAACCTGCATAGAAACTGTAAAGATCCATCCTAATTTCACCGAATTCGTGAATGTGACTTTATATATATATCAACTGATGTGTAGAACCCTTTTTTACGAACAACTATATATGAACTAAAGTTATGTTTACCCTATTTCTGCAAGCCTTCCACCGAGAACTTCTGCTTCCCATCCCACTTGGATGCGCCTGATATAGCCGCTTTGGTCACCTCTACAGGCTGACTGCTCTTCTGGTTATAATACCTTCGTTTTGGCAACCTGCACAGAAACTGCAGTGATCCATCCCAATCTCTCCATCTTTGTGTTTTAGCCGCCGTAGATAAATCAGGTGCCTCGAATCCATTCCCATTTAACGCAGCGAATTCCTCTGTTTTACACAGATTCAGCACCATTTGCCGATTATTCTTAGGCCCCTTCAAAGGCTCTCCTTTGCGCTGGCTGGCCGCAATCGCTGCTAATTCAGCATCATGCCTCGACGCATACAGCTCGATTAGCTTACACATGTCGGCGTCTGTGTAGAATGCTGTGTCCTCTTGTATCGCACACTTGAACCAGAATAAGGTGTCACATCTGCGTTGTTCGAGTTTCCCTTGCTTTACTTTTGTTACAATAAGATTCTCTTTGCGTAGCATCGCGCGTGACTGTCTTTTGGCTTCTCGAGATGCCGGGTGTAGGGTTTTAAGCTTCTTTTGTACCACCTTCTTGGTGACTTTTAGTTGTTTAACCATTGTGCCTAGATATAGAGAAAATCTTGACCTGTGTTTTGTGTACCACGATGTTCGTGTGGAAGCATCGCCACTCGACTATTTACCTTGACAGCAGGATAATATTATACTGTATGTATTCGATATTTTTGTGAAATATGATAGCCTTTTGAATACTTAAATCACATCAAGTGTCACGTGCACAAGATCTGCCGATTTATTGCGTCATAACCTTTTTGTGTCATACAAAACTAATGTATTCACAACAATGTATTTATTTAGTTGTTGTAAATAAATACATTATGGTAAATATGTATTTATTTAGTTGTTGTAAATAAATACATTATGGTAAATATGTAGTTATTTAATTGTTGTAAATAAACACATTATAGTAAATATGTAGTTATTTAGTTGTTGTGAATAAACATAATATGGTAAATATGTAGTTATTTAGTTGTTGTGAATAAATACATTATGGTAAATATGTAGTTATTTAGTTGTTGTGAATAAATACATTATGGTAAATATGTAGTTATTTAGTTGTTGTGAATAAATACATTATGGTAAATATGTGGTTATTTAATTGTTGTAAATAAATACATTATGGTAAATATGTAGTTATTTAGTTGTTGTGAATAAATACATTATGGTAAATATGTGGTTATTTAATTGTTGTAAATAAGTACATTATGGTAAATATGTAGTTATTTAGTTGTTGTAAATAAATACATTATGGTAAACATGTAGTCCTACGGACTTGTCCATTCTCCCTTAAATAAAATTGCACACTTCTCTAGCTAGAGGGTCATGGGTATGTAGAGTCTACCAGAAAAATATACACTATATGCACAGTATGTATTACAATGATTCCAAAGGAGGAATAGACCCCCACAGTCTTCAGTCTTCCACACTGCTGTAACATCATGCATTGTAAGCATGTATTGAAAAAAAATCGAAGCACAAAATGAATCCTACTCTTGGAAGGTCTCTCAATTGGTTTTTAAGTCCAGGCCAATAGCCCTCTATTAGACCTGTAAGTACTCCAGTCCGCATGTGATTACCAGTATTCTATTAGTACGATAGCTATAGAAATGTTGGTGTGCCACAGAGTTCCAAGAAAAAGAGACGTCGCAGCAGTGCTTCGTCTAACAAGATGTCCACGAAGTCCACTCAAATGGTCGTAGTGAACTACTTGAAGCAATTGCAAGCCTTCATCTTCCAGCTGCTGTTTACACTCCAGTGTTTACTTATGGCATTGTGGATATATATATATATATATATGTATGTATGTATGTATGTATGTATGTATGTATGTATGTATGTATGTATGTATATATATATCCATCCATCCATCCATCCATCCATCCATCCATCTATCTATCTAT